AGTTTAGCGCAAAACTTAGTTTCTGGTTTGCAAGGGATCAGTGACCGATTTGCGACCAATACTGTTGCGACCAATTAGAGTGATCGCAAATTAAAGCCTGGCTTAGAAAATTCTAGAAACTGTTTTCTTTTTTTTCTTCTTCTTCCCTCTTAAGCAAGTGCAAGCGCGCCTCTCTGCTCCTCTCATTTTTTCGTCGACCAAAGACCCGCGCCGCGTCTCCTCACCATCGACTCCTCGCCGCAGTAGTCTGGCCTTCCTCTCCCTAAAGAAAAACCATGATTTGGATAGAACCCAACCCGAACCAAGCCAAACCAAAAAATAATAAAAAGAAACCTACACAATTCTAGAAACCCTCCCTTATCCCATTTTCAGCACCGGCTCACCCTCCGCCTCTCCTCCTCTCGTTTTTTCGACCACCAGAAACCAGCGCCGCAGCAGTTCCGGTTAATCCGTTCTCCTCTCCTTTTGTTTCTGGTGCGCGTAGAAGGCGCAAGAGAGCTAAGACCTCCTTCGATCGAGAAGTTGCGTCGAGCCTCCTGCTCCTCGACTTTTCAGCGACGTTGGCTTCTCTCCCGTCGACGACAAAGCTCCGGTCTCTCCTTCACTCGCTCTTGTTGCTTCCGACCACCGCAGCTAACACAAAGAGCTGTAGTTGCGTTTATCGGGCAGTAGCATCATCAGCATTCTTCTTGCCTTTTCGGCTAGACTAACCGGCGAAATATCTCCTCTTTCGTTGTCAACTCCTCACCAGCATATTTTCGACCACCATTCTCATAAATTCCGCCCAAGCTATCATCGGCAGTGGCATATTTTGGAAAATTGAAGCTATTTCCGGTCATTTAACCAAAAAATTCATTTTTCCAATGCTATTTTGTAATTAGGTAATTAATTTCTAACCATTCTCAGTATAGTTATAAATTCTTTAAATTTTATTAAAGGGAGGTGATGTATAAAGTAATTTTGATATAGCGATGTGCATTTCTCGCTACTGCCTGTGTAAATTGCTTAGAAATTTTATTGAACATTGCTATTTGGGAACTACCATTTGAGCTTCTTGATGAGGTTGAGTGGGTTGTCATGTTTGCACCAAGTTATGTGTAGGAATGAGAAGTATCTTGAAATGGCAGCAACTGTTTTTATTATTCTTTTAAATTATTACTTGATATAGTACAGCTAAGGTTCTAAGTTTATTTTTTTGCAAGAAAGACTGTGCATTTCATTCGCTTACCTGCTCCTGTGTAAATGTCTATAAGACAAATTTTAAATTGAACATTGCTAAAATTTGGGCAATCCTACCAATATTTGAGGCTACATTGATGAGGTTGAGTGGGTTGTCATGTTTGCACCAAAGTTATGTGTTAAGGACATTGAGAAGATTATGGACAATAAGCAGCAAACTGTTATATTTCTTTCTACAATTATTATTGATTATAGTTCGCTAGAGTATACTAGAAATAATTATTACTTGCAAGAAATTAGGTTAGTAAGTATGATGTAATCACAGATTTCAGTGTAGAAGAACTTTGAGAATTTGTGTATTGAAGACAGAGAATATAAAGAATAAGAACACACTTGAGATTGATTAGTTAAAGGACTAAACAATATTAAGCTTGAGCTGTAATTTTTTAAGATTTCCGTGAAATTTGGTCAATACATATATGGACTTTTTATATTGATGGATGATATAAATGGATCAGTTAGCTATGAACATTGGTGAGACAGGTTGATTCTGGATACATTATAGGATATAAAACGAAATCTTAATTATAATGAAGGAAATAGGTTTATATTATAGTTGGTTATGTATATTACGGTTAATCCTAATATTATCATAATATATATAGATATCAGAACCAAAGCAATCGAATTATTCACGATCAAGGGTGTAGTACTATTGTGTTAGTAGGCGTCTCCTTTTAATAATCTTATTAACAATTCGAAAGATGCGTTGAAAAGAAAAAAAAATCTCTATTTGACAGGGGCGTTCTTCCTATATTATATATATATATATATATATATATAGGGTTCAACAAGCAATCGATATTTCACGATCAAGGGTGTAGTACTATTTGTAGTAGTGGTTCTTATATATCGTATTAACAATCGAAAGATGGTTGAAAGAAAAAATCTCTATTTGACAGGGCGTCTTCCTATATTTAGATAGTTATACTGGTAAGATGTAAAGGTTAAGCCAATATCAATTTCATTTATTTATCTATTTAGCTATGTGCTTATTTGCTTAACCTTATGTAGTAAAATTAAAGTTTTGTATTGATAATTAAATATTAGTATTGTTATTTGGATGGAGGAAGGGAAATTTAACTGCTTGATCACCCGACCAATGGGCTATGTGTATTGATTGAGATATTTAATATTATTGTGTTATTCTAGCAGGTAGATAATCCTATTTTTAGGGGATGTGTTGCCGAAATTTCGGTATAATCTAGTCTAGTTATAGCAGTTAGATACATAGATAATTTATTAAATTGATTCCTTAATTCTCCATTTAAATTAGTCCTTTGTCTGATCCAGTTCTTTTCTTTGCATTCTTAAATTCTTTATATCGTCCGAACCTTGTAGATTTGATTTCGAAACGTTTTAGCTTTCAGTGATTTTCATATTTTGTATCATACATTACATTTATAATTGCATTCTTACATTGTTACTGTGTTGTGATCTTGATGATGATGCTTGTGATTGTAATGTATATATATGTCAATTTTTGACAGGTGGAAAAAATTGTGGTATTTAATATTATTAAATTATTTTTTTTGCCTGTAATTATATTTTGCGACCGAATAGCGACCGAACTGCAACCAAAGTATAATTGAGAATTTGCAACCAATTTGCGACCGATTAGTCGGTCTCTAATTAGCGACCTCTAATCGGTCACTAATTTGCGACCGCTTCGACAATCGATCGCAAAATTATGTGTGACGAGCTCTTTTGCGACCCATTAATTTTGGTCACAAATCGGTCGCTAAGTCCATTTAGCGATCGATTTCTTATGTTTAGCGACCGATTTGTCGGTTGCAATTTACCGATTTTTTTGTAGTGTAAGATTCAGAGGAGTTATTATTTTGACGGCCAAATCAATAAACAGACTAGTTGCTGCTATGAAGATTTATATCTTTTGTCAATATCAACTCCAAGCGAAAATATCTAATATTATATTTTTTAATTTTAGTTTCATGGTTCAAAATAATATGATTTCTTTTGTTAAAAATACAATAGTAAAATAGTTTTTTTTTTTCTCACAGAATATGACATTTTTGTCAATATTTACAATTTTAAAATATAAGTCAAAAGAAAATCTAGTGGTGTAAAGAGAGTGGAAATTTTTTTTTTCACCAAAATACCCTACTCCTCTCCCTCTCTCTCTTCCAACAATTCTATAGTTTCAAGAAAACTACAACTCTTCATTGTCACACTTTTTGTTAAACTTCTTCACACACACACATATCTAATAATGGGTGAAATAAATTCAAATCTGATGGAAGAAAATGGAAGAAGAGGTCAAGAATCAATTTTATGACAGATTATGCTCTTCCTTTCCATTGGAGAAATGGTTTTAAAAAAAAAAAAATCGAGTGAGGAGTTTAGCTTAGTAGGTCAAAGAGCTTCATTCCATAGTTTTTTTCCCTTTTTTTTTTTTTTTGCTACCAATAATCAACTGTCGTTTGCCGGATATAGAAGTTGTTGCAATAATGCAAATATAAAATCCTAACTATAGCTTTTCATAAATGGCTTTATAAGATAGAAATTAGCTTAGGTAATATAATCAAGAGGAAAAGAAAATTATTTAGAACTTATCTAAAGTGTTGGATCTCCAAAAAGGAATGAAAAGGGGCGGAGATGATAAAAGATGGAGCTTCAGATTATAGCTTTTAATTACTGTCATTAAAGTGATTTGATAGTAACTTAATGTCTGAAATTGCAAAATAGACAAAAGGGGTACAGAGTGTTACAAACTAAAAGTAAGAGGGTATGACAATCTATTTTTAAAAATAAAGAAGTTAAGTAGTTTTTTTTTTTTGCAAAATATAAGGGTACGATTATAATTTTTTCATATTAAAATAATATTATTTTTATTATTCATTTATTATTTTATCCTTTTATTTTCGTCATTGTTGTCATTATCGTTATCGTCATCGTTGTTGCTATCGTCATTTTTGTTGTCGCTGTCATGTTGTTGTCATCGTCGTTAAATCACATATAAGTTGTATAAGGATAATTTGGGGATTAATAATTTATTTTTCACCAATATTGATATTCTCTTAATTTTTATATTGTTTTGGCATTTTCTTAATATAGAAACCTAACTTTTAATATTTGAAGAAACAATAACTTGGAAGGTACAGAGAATGACGACTTATTCGGCCTAAATAAGTATTTTTCACAGTAATATTTGAAGAAACAATAACTTGGAAGGTACAGAGAATGACGACTTATTCGGCCTAAATAAGTATTTTTCACAGTAATATTTGAAGAAACAATAACTTGGAAGGTACAGAGAATGACGACTTATTCGGCCTAAATAAGTATTTTTCACAGTAATATTTGAAGAAACAATAACTTGGAAGGTACAGAGAATGACGACTTATTCGGCCTAAATAAGTATTTTTCACAGTAATATTTGAAGAAACAATAACTTGGAAGGTACAGAGAATGACGACTTATTCGGCCTAAATAAGTATTTTTCACAGTAATATTTGAAGAAACAATAACTTGGAAGGTACAGAGAATGACGACTTATTCGGCCTAAATAAGTATTTTTCACAGTAATATTTGAAGAAACAATAACTTGGAAGGTACAGAGAATGACGGCGAAACAAAATTAAGCCACATTCCAATTGAAGAAAAAATCTACAAAACATAAGAATATGATGGCACATGAGCCACATTGCTTGGCCAGCAAAGAAAAGGGCCCTCAACTTTTGGTGGCCAATCATCCTGTGGGTTATAATTAATTACTTAATTGGACCCTTTATTCAGTGACATCCTATTGGGCATAATGCTATTTCTTTATTTATTTTGTTGGTTGAATAACATTTGGCCATATTTTAGCCTTTATACACTCCATGGATGATCAGCAACTCTTCCAACCTCTGCTTCCCACCGCCACAATCTCCTGCTGTTCCTCGGCGACACTATATAACAACGACGAAGAGGACCACATCAAGGTTTTATCATCAAATTCCAGCGTTATACTCCGGCTTTTCACCATTTTTTCCGTTGGAGTCGTATCCATATGGGCAAATTATGAAGCTTCAAAAGGTTTTGATATAACAATAATCAATGATGCCAAAGATTCTCCAGCAGGAAAACGCTTTGCCCTCTTCTATATGTCTAATGACAAAGCTATCCGTATTATCCAAAACACTAGCTCCTTTGTCGAAACCTTTCTTTATCCAAATATCAATAACTACAATAAGAAGTACGTCAGCCATGTCACTCTACGGCTGGCTAGCACCAACCTAACCGACTTGGTTGTGGTAGAAACGAATGCAGATCATGAATTTGCGATACATCTAAGTCCATCAGTAATGGGTAATCATAAAAACCTCGATTATGCAGTTACATCAAGTATTTTACAAGGGATGGCTCAGATATGGCTATGGAACGGAGAGTCTAGAGCTCCGCGGTGGATTCTTGATGGTCTGGTGGAATATATAAAGAAGACGGCAGGATTTAGCCCCATGGCAGTTGGTTGGGAGTTGCCGGAATATTGTAATTTTTGCTCGGGGTATAAGGACCCCAAGGCTGTAGCAAGCTTTCTGGATTATTGTCAGAGACATCGCGAGGGTTTCATCCAACGGCTAAATCAAGCACTTAAAGTTGGCTGGGACAATGATAGGACGGTGGAGGATGCATCAGGGATGCAGATACAGAATCTTTGTAATTATGCGGCCAAGTCTTCTAAGGGTTTTTCAGTTTAATCAAAGTGTAGTAATTTGTACTTTGAAACTCCATTTGGAGAGTTGATCATCTGGCATGGAATCATCTTTTTTTTTTTTTTTTTTTTTTTTTTTTTTTTTTTTTTTTTTTTTTTTTATTTTTTTTTTTTTTTTTTTTTTAAAAGGATTTTTTTTTTTTTTTTTTTTTTTTTTTTTTTTTTTTTTTTTTAAAAGGAGGTGTTCGGGTTGAATCATCTACTTTCTTATTGCAACTGTCCAAAAGAAAATTATTATAATTGTAAAAAGGCTTGGTGGAACAGGATTGGTGATTAAATATATTTCAAATTGTTTATATTTCTTAATTCTAGCCTACAATATTTTTTTTTTTTTTTGTGTACTATAACTCTAATTTAAAAATTTATTATCAATTATACACCAAGTCAAAATAGATAAGAAAAGTATTTATTTTACATTAATTTAAAGGACTAATTAAATCATCTTTTAAACTTAAAAATATTACGCATTATTAATTTAATTTTAAAAAATTTGATTGCAGTTAATAAATGTTTTTTAATTTTATAAAATTAATTAATTGGATTCTCATTTGATTAGTGTTAGTTTATTAAATATGTAACATTTGAGAGTTTAGTTGAAATTCAGAGATTTAATTAATTAATTGATTTATGCAGGTAAATCTCCAATTTGATAATTTAATATCCTAATTAAAACTAATGTGCAAATAATATTTTTTTAACTTGAAACTTAATTGGTAAAATTTAAAAACTACATGCAAAAAAAGAGAGAAAATTTAATTTATAAAATACAAAAAGTTAAGATAAATTTAAGTATTAAGCCGGTGGGACATGTTTGGCTGTTGGCTTTTTTATGAACAAAAATACTTTTAATAATAATAATACAGAATAATAAGTAATAACATTATTATAATTCTTCTCAAAGAAAAATATAATTATTGTTATGTATATACAGTCATCAGAGTGCTGGTTCCACGTGGGATACAAGCAGATAAGGATTCTCCTGTTGAACGTTTTTTTTTTTTTTTTAAATTTATCAACTACGGTTGGTCACAAGTGGCCGACATAAAAAGGGTAAGGAAATAAGCAAACTTGTCGTTGGGGGCCACTAATTCGAAACCACCACTTCCAGTTTAAAAAAACAAGGATTACGTTTCCCAATAATATGAAACCGAAATAGAATAAAAAATTCACAGTTTCGATCGTTTTTTTCATGGTTTTAAAATTGAACACTTCCGATGGTCCTCTAAACGGTTTTTTAAACAGTTCACGTGATTTTGAAATTAAAAAATTAGAAAATATTTCTTTTCAAAATTTTAAATTTAACTATTTATGAAATAATTTTTTAAAATAGCTTAAAAAAATGCATGAATTTATTTTTTTTTCAAAAATTAATTTTTATATGTATCCTCTTAAATTGTCTCTACTTACCATTATAGAATAATAATATTTAACCTAAAAATTGAGTATAAAAAAATTAGAGAGAATAATTAGAGATTGAAGATATTATTTGAGAATAATTCAAACAATTTCAAGAAGAATAATTAAAGAGTGGAGAAATTATTGACAATAATTCAGATAATAAGCATAAATTGGAGAGCTTAGAGAGATTGGAGAGTAGAAAGAAATAATTTGATGTGAGGACCGAAAGTAATGGGGTATTTATAATAAAAACAAAAATCTAACTTCCACAAATATCCTGAAAGTTAGTCGTCATATAATCGTTTATAGTTGTTCTGAGGCTTAATTTGGGGAGTTTGATGTGTTAGATTATTTAATAATCTATATGTGGTCCATGTAATTAAAGGGCTGATTCTAATTAAGGTGGCCCAAGATGATGGTTATTGGGCTTAATGGATAAGGACCAGTTAGGGTTTTAATACCATTCCTTGACTGTGTTAGATTATTTATATAATCTACTAACTGTGGTCCATGTAATTTAACAGGGCTGATTCTAATTAAGGGTTGGGCCATAGATGATGGTTAATCTGGGTACACTGGATCCAAGATGATGGTTATTGGGCTTAATGGATAAGGACCAGTTAGGGTTTTAATACCATTCCTCTGTCTTATAAAAGATAAAGGAATCAACAGCTTAAGGTTAAGGAAAGAAAAGAGAGAGTGTGACGGTTACATCAAACACATACGGTGATCGTTTGTTAGAGAGAGCGTGAAAAGAAACTCCGTGAAAAGAAACTCCCGTAGCTATTGATCATTCTCCAACCATCAAGAGAAAACTTACGGACAAAAGGTCAGAGTGAAGAAACATAGGTCTGCTGTTACGATGAGAATTGAATTGCCGCAATGAGGTAATCCATAACATAGATTTGCTGTTATGGATTAAGGTACACTTCCGATTATTGTATATTCCTGTCAAACAAATTCTATGAACTATAGATCTAGGCTATATTAAAGATTATTCAACATGTGGTATCAGAGCTTGTACCTGTTCTAGATTTGTTTGATAGTGTTTTGTTTGGCTTAATTAATGCTATTATTAAAGATATCTCAACATGTGTTGGCTATCACAGCTCTTAAATTTTATGTATCCCTCCTCTGATTCTCCCCAAAAAAGCTAGATTGTATTGATAGATGTTTTGTTTGGCTTTACTTTTAATTGTAACAAAATTAATTTCGTATTATTGTTTGAGAATTGCATAGTCTGGTTTCTTATAGTACGCGCACACGTCAAAATTCCATGGAAATTGAAAAACTGATTTGTTATATATTTGATTCGACGTGTGTATAAATTTTTATTTTGCTTGTTATGTTATTAACAAGAAACGGTTTCTGCTTTTAATTGCGTCACCTCGTATGGACTTTAGCTTGTCGTTAAAAAAGTTTTTTTTAGAGAGATTTATTTAATTCCACATCTTATAAAAAGTTATTTTGCATAAATCAATAATCGCGCTCTCCTTTTAATGAGATGAAAACTTGTTTCAAGTCACTAAACTCGGCCGTGTTTGGTATATAGTTTTTATCAGGACATTTTGATTACTTGCATGCTTTCAATTTGTTCATGTTTGTTTCTCAAATCTTTATCTTTGTGTCGATAGCTTAAATGACATTGAACAGTTAAAATTGAACAATTTGAGTATCATTTCTCTAATAAAATTTGTTAGAGTTACCTAAAAGGATAGCACCCATTATATTTATTATAAATCAATGGCATTAAAGAAGATCTCTTATCATTTAGGACTATTATTCAATTTATGCAATGTTGATAATCCATAAGATAACATTGCATTATTGTTATGGAGCATCTATATTTGAAATAGTTAAATAAAAAAAAGTATTCAAACTTTGAGATTTCAGAAAAAGCAGCACGGGGCAATGGTGCTATGTGACTTCCAGAAGGAGAGCATAGGTGTAATAATTGATGCTTTACTAATATAGCCACTCGGTGCGATGCCTCCCCTAAATCTTCCATTTGAGAGAAAGCTTACGAGAGCGTCTACTGCTGCAGTAATGTTAACGCATTAAACGAGCGCGCTGTCCTAAGCCATAACCTTTCAAGAGAGAAGCACCGGGGTGAGTCCAACATATCATGTGTCTATAATGTGATGACTCAAAATTATTTTACTCGGTTGTCAGTGGCCTTTTGAGTACTTCCAGACGAGCACCAGCAAGGTATGGCATAGCTTCGTGTAGGATAGCTACGCTGGCAGTGCTTCTCTTTCTACACTTGCATTAAAGGTTTCAGTCAAAGCTCTGCATACAGCTCATCAAAATGAAATCTGTTAAAAGTTATTTTTCTTCCTTGGCATCATTATTTTGTTTTAGAAAAGCTGATGCATTTCTATAAATAAAAATATTACCACGAAAGGTAGAATCTAGAATGCGCGCATCAACTTAAAGGGGTTAGCATTTAACTTTGTCTGCTATATTGGTCCATTTATTATGTTTACTTCAAAGTATTAACGCTCACTGCAGTATTATATGACAAATGTTGCAGCTTTACTCTTATTAAAACTCAATGCTTGCCTCATGATGCACTGGGCGTGTTGATTTAAGTTCAAATGGATTGAAACTATGCTGCATTGGTTCACCTGCAAGTAAAATCCTCATGATTATACTAGTTAGGAGATGTACTTAGGACTTTAGTATATATAGTCATATTAAAGTCTCATAGATTAAGACAACATACGAAAAGTAAGCCAATTTATTAGAGACTAGCAACTAATAGCTTGACAAAGACTCACACATATACTGGCAGCAGC